TGTATGGTGAGGTGTGATTCATATGTATGCTTTGTGATGGTACGTATGAATGTTTGAATATGATATGACATGTGTATATGTTCATATGAGTATGTTTATTGATCATAATGGTAGGTAGACCATTTATGATGTATGATGCATTATTGCATGTGATGTCTTATGACATGTGTATGATTGTTGATCATGATGGTGGGCAGACCATTATGATGTATGATGCATGATTGCATGTGATGCCTATGGCATGAGTCTAGCCTAGGACTTGAGGAGAGGAAAAATATTTTTGAACTGGAAGAGCTCACATAGAGTCTCTTGAGAGTGGTGCTTGGATAGGCCACTGATATATGAGAGTGGTGCTCTGGGAGGCCACTGGATTTGGGAGAGTGGTGCTCAGATAGGCCACTGGGTTGGGTGAGTCTCCTCTAAGTCCTTAGCTAGTGTTGGAGCGGGGTATGAGGTCGAGGGTTATTCCCTTAACCAAGTACTCGGGAAGGTGCGTGGATCCTTGCGGATAGTCGGTGGGCGAACTCCACAATTGACTTGGTTATTGCATGCCAAGGTCGTGGTAAGCCCGTACCCAGCTGTGCTATACCTGACGGTGGATCTGGACTTCCAATTGTGTAAGTGACATCATCCGAGTAAACCCGAGTGAGGATTATATATCCTGTTTAGCTGTGACCGAGCGGGCGCATTGGGCGTGAAAACGGTTGGGGTGGTTTCGGTAGGATGGAATGTCACTTATACAGCTCTATTGTTATGGAGATCTCCTAGGTGTATGCGTGACGACGCATTAGATGATTGATATGCATTGATATTTGTCATGAGATGCATTTATTGCATGATTATTAATATGATGAAGTGTGGTGTTTGACTTCATGATTGGTGGATTGTATTTTATGCATGAGTAGTATTGGATAGAGGGTATGGGGTGACTCTGAATATGATTGACAGTTAGACGATTGTGTAGTATAGTTTATTATTCTATACTTGTATGATTGATTTGTGAATTCTAGCTTACCCTTCTATTTCCATGTGGTGGGACTGCGATGATCATACTTGGTATGGGAGCAGGTCAGGGATAGCTTGGAGTAGAGGTGACTGCTGCGAGACGAGGAGTTGAGCCTCGTGTTTTGAGTTACCATTTTGGGTAACAATTTTTGTCCGTGCTTGACCGGCACTAAGGAATATTTTGGGATGACTGTACATATATGGTGCTTTATCTTGTATACAGAAACTTAATTATTTTGATCTTTATATTTATGCATGTATGTATGTGTTATCCAGTTTAGTATTCTCTTAGTTATCTAGTTGTAGTGCGATTCCACTAAGTGTAGAGACCATGGCGGGTCGTTACAGCTCTAGATACCAAAACTGATGGAACTATTGAAGGATGATGACTTATCTAGGATAAAAGACAATATTCCAATAATACTACGCAAGTTGGAAAGAATATTTCCTCCTAGTACTTGGAGAAGATTGATGTTTCTTCAAGTTGAACCATACTAAGTCCCTTCTTCTCTTGAGGTTCTTCATGCCAATGGAAGATTTGGATGAGTTCAAGCTCCAAAAGCACAAAGGAGAAGTTCCTTTGTGAAGCTTCTAGGAGAAGGAGATTCTCCACAAAATTGGACTCTTGAAATGAGAGAGAATTTCTGAATTCTGTCTCATAAATGTCAAAAGTGATTACAAGAGTAGAAATTACAAATATATAGAGGTAGGTAGCTTAAGGAGCAAGCTAACCATAACCATGGTTCGCTAGGAACCATGGTAAGGTTAGTTGACCTTCTAGGTGAGTTTAGAAACTTGTGGAGCAAGATTCTCGCTTAGCTTGCTCCCAAGCAAGCTAAGGAGAAGCTTGTAGCACAAGCTTCTCATCTCCTTGAAGGTTAGAGAAGCAATTCGATCAAAGAAAGGAGACTAGGCCAGGTGGGCAGATTTGGTCTCTTTTGGCTCCTTGAATTAATTTCAAAAATGTTTGATTTGGTTTAGTTAGGTTCATCCAATGATGATGAAACCTAGATAAATCAAATCTATGAAAAATTAGGAGAAAAATGAGTCCAATATGTAAAATTTTGCCTAGGCCTAATTCTGGCCCAATTACTAGTCACACCCTCAAGCATTGCTAAATGCCACCCCTCTTTTCCTACTGAAAAAATAGAAAATGAGTGCATCAAAAAAGGAGGTTAAATGGAGTCAAACTCTCCAAGTAACCCACCCTAGAATCAATATACAATGACTAATAAAAGAAACTAAAGTGCCTCACAAATACAAAGGCAAAAATAAGTCTATACAAGAGAACTATGTACAAGATATTTACAACTAGAACTATGTCTTCTCTTCATGATAGAGTGGTCCAAATTGAATAGTACCTTGGGCTTGGAAAGCCCACTGGTCTTCAAGGTGTCCACTGGTCTTCAAGGTGGCCATAGCTCTAGAGGTTGGGCTCTTGGCCCATGGTCCATCATCCCATTCCTATTGGTTCCTTCAATGTATCACCTCTTGGATTCCTTGGCCTTGGCCATAGTCTATTAGTTTCTCATCTAACTTCATACATCTAACCTACTAGGTCCCATCACATCGCCCATTGGGCCGTCAAACTAGCCAAATCTAACACACGATGCCCCCCTTTGGATAGGACATCGGGAGCCATAACCTTTCATGGGAAAATCCCAGCGGTCAGGGAATCTCGCACAACAATAGCAGAAGGGATTTCCAAACTCGAGTGAAAACTTTCCACCTGTCTATCCTTGTGGGGCCAAGAACTATCCCTCCTGGGTACACTAGACTCTCCGAGTTGTGATGCATCCGAACCTTTCTTTTTTCCCTAGTCTCTTTTCTTCTTGGCATGAGGATCTGGAGGAGCATAGTCTTGGGGAGGAGGGCAAGCCTTGGTAATGGTAGGAGGAGGGTCCATAGCCATGCTTCGATACTCATTAGTCAAAATGTTGGGAAGGGCTTGATTGTGCACATATTACGAGTAAAAGAACGTCATCCCTTTTTGCACCATCAACCTTGCAACAAAACAGCAATTACAAATCAACCTAACATGTAACAATGAATAAGTCACGATTGACACATGCCATTGAGATCAAAACAGGCTAAGGTGATTTCTACAATAGAACCAGAAATCAAGTCGGGATCTCTTAGGGTAGAGTCATCAGGTACGCCAAGGATGAAGTTAGCAGAAAAACACATAAAGGGGGGGTTGAATGTGTGTGTGTGTGAACAAAGGTATTTTAAAACTTTTTCGCAAGCATAGTAGTCTCCGTCCACTACACTTTTGAATATCAGACGATTGTGCAGAGCTTGCTTAACTTATGATCAATGCGTCTAAAAGGTTTATCATCCACTAGGGAAAATGTCTTGTAAAAATATTAAATGAAGTTCTTACATTTTCCTTTTCAAGATAGTTTCGTTTAAGGATAAGTAGCAGATGAACTTTCAGTATAATAAATTTGTCAAGCAAAGTTAGCATCTTCGTCTAAAAGTTGTTTTAAATATATTTGAACATCGGACGAAGTATTTCGCAAAGAATTAATCAACAAGAAGGATTTACGTCTAAGTAAGTAAAAGAATGTAACCATTTTATACCGATTCGCTCAACAGAGCTACGTCCAGTCTCCTTCAACTTAAAGGGTTCCACTAGATATGAAATGAAGTACATAAGTATTGTTGACCACTTCTGGCCCGTTGACTTCACTCATCAATGCTAGTATATTCTTCTCAGCCTCTTTAGGCTAGCAATGAGTATTATGAACCACCTAGGTTAGAACCACTCTAGGTCCAAGTATTCTCGACCACTCCTGGCCCGCCAGCGTCACTCATTAGCGCTAGTATTCTTAAACAACTTCTGATTCTCGAAGTATTCTCGACCACTTCTAGCCCGTCAGCTTCACTCACCAACGCTAGTATTCTTAAACCACTTCTGGTTCTCCAAGTATTCTCAACCACTCCTGACCCGTCGGCTTCACTCACCAACGCTAGTATTTTCTTCTCAACCACTTTTGGCTAGCAGTGAGTATTCTTTGACAAGCCCCTCCGGGCTTTACAAGTATTCTTTTCATAGCCTTTTCAGGCTTTATAATTGATAAATGTGTAGTCGGGTTTGAGTGTATTGGATTACTCTCACAGAGAGGATTTGGAAATTTCCTACACTCACTAAGATTTGCTACCTTAGTTTTACAGAGATTTTGAGTGTGTGGGTTACTCTCATGGAGAGGATACATATATGATCTACACTCACTACGGTTTGATGCTAAGATGTACATATTTGAAATTCCGTAGTTTATTGAGACGAACACATTAATGTACTTTTGATTCTATACGCTCTGTCTCTGGTTTCGTTGAACCATGGGCTGGATATCACTTTTCTTTATGCTTGCACCATTTCAGGCCAAACAGCCAGCGTCTAAGGTTTGAAGTTGAGGCTTATATAGTCTTGTGATTTCTGCCCGTTGCTATTTCCTGTTAAAGCAAAAATAGTTATTCACGACTAGTTTGATCTTCGCATTTAATGCTCTAATTCTTGCATTAAATGTGGCTTCCTTTTCATCGATAATGCGTGAAGTTTTCTTGCCCAGTTAGTAGCTGTATCTGAATATAGCAAAGTCCTAGGAAACTTCTGTCCTTTTCTGACCCTATAGTTGTGGAGCTTTTGTTCTTGTTTGAAAAAGTGATGTACTTTTTCTGACATACGCATGATTTAACGTTTGAGTATTCTCTTCTTCTTTCTTCTTCTCTTCTCATAATTCGACTGACTTCGTGTGTTCTTCTGTGAGTGTAGACAATATTCAAACTGTCTTTTGAAGCTTGATTTCTCAGATGATTGCATGTCATTCTTCGTCTGCGTCTGGTAGTCAACTTTTAGTTCAATACTTTGACCTTTCGTCTGGTCAACTCATATATGATCAGACTTTCAAATGATCTTTGACCAGCCTTCGTTTTATAACTTTCAAAATAATTATTGCTAATAAAGTTCTGAATAAAAAAAGTCTTACCCTGTATTGATTGGTGCAAGAACAAACTTATCAAGCACCCCATTATCAACAAAAATACTAACTATTTTTTTGCATTCGTTCTTTAACAGGTAATTCATGTGTTGTTAACTGAGGGGATAAGAAGAACACCATATGATTTGGCTTAACAATTGTGTGATACAGGTACCTTATGAAAGAAAAACAATATAATAATGAATTAGTAATATCATAAACGAGCTAATTAAAGTTTAAAAGTTAATGATGCAAATATTTATGACGTACCCAATATATATAGAAATTGTAGCAGCACCCAGCCATCCATGATCAATAACTTCTCCAATAACTTCTCCATTTACTATTTCTTTATGTTCATCAAGTCCAAATATACCTTTCTCCATTTCTATAGGAGGAAGTGACTCTGTCGACTTCAATTTCAAGTGTAAAGAAAGGTAGTTGCACCATTTAGGAAGATTGCGGCGAATTATAGTGCGAGGGGTACGTTGAATAACCATCTTCCCTCGATTTTTTGCTTTTGGTGCAATAGAGTCATTTATATTATTAACCCCTTTCTTTTTAGATATAGTGGAATCCTATAAAGTTACAAATTTAACAAGTTATCTAATAGGTAAATTATTTCATAAACAATTATGAATTAATATAATTGTGTAAACATACCGCATCAGCAACCTGTAAGAGGTTGATTGGCCATGCCACAAATGTACCTATTGCTTGCCTTATTGTCATTATGTCATCATCCATATTAGGTATTGGCAAGGAGATATCAGGCTCTACAACAACATCTATACTAACTTTTACATGTCCATTAGGTAGAGATCTCCCATGCAATGTATCACTTTGAATATTATGCAACTTTCCATGGGCAACCAAGCAAAGTAACGGTGATGATACAAATAATTTACAACATGAGACCCCCTACATTATAAAAACATAATTAAATTATAGAATATTTAAAGTAAGTAAATTTAGAGAGCTATTACGAATTTAAAGTAAGTAAATTACACTAAAATATTGAAGCTAATTAATATGGAGAAATTAATTACCTCAGGAAAGCTATTAGATGGGATTGTGCAACTCCCTTTGCCACTACTGTTACAAGCATCAAGTTTTTTTGTACTATCCGATGAGTCCTTTTGTCTAAGTGACAACATCTCTTTTTCCATTCGTGCCATTCTTGCACTCATGTCTCTTATTTGAGCAATTAATAAATCATGCTCCTGTTGTGTGTGTCGCTTTTTTGGTGGAAAATAGTCTTTGTGAGTGACTCCAAATCCCACACCCCTAACACGACCAGGATACTCTGGGACACATAAAGCTTGAGAAAGAATGTCTGAACGAGCATCAGTTATGTCCTCTGGATGTATACTTTGTGATAACAATTCCTAAAATATATAAATAAATAAAAATCAAGCATATAACCTCGCTATAACACATACCATAACTATTTGTAAGTCATATTTTATTATGAAAATATTTTTCTTACACATTTATCCCATACTTGTTGAACATTTTCATTTTCAATTTCTCCAGCTTTGTTCACACGAGCATTCTTCCACAATTCTTGACGGGGAACACTTGTAACATTTGATCCTGATTTCTTTATCTAATTTTTGTGAAAATAATCATACAAGTTAGAATTCATATTGGAAACTTGTATATTATATATTTGTGTATGTAGTGATTTACCATTTCTTGCTCGAGGCGTGCATACCCCTTACGTGAGGCCCTATAAGGGTACTTATTAGAGTGTGATGCCCTCTCCTTGTTTTTTTTGCTTATTTCCTGTATAAAAAGGTAGTAAATGAGTTATATGTACATATTGTAATCAAAAGATAAAGATACTATATTTGGATATTATACCTGAAAAGATTCATCCATACGTTTTGCAACAAATTTTCTCCAAACATCCTCAGTGATCATGGATGCATACTGCTCAGGAGGTTGAATAGGTGGACTATCTAAATAATTTCCATTCTAATCCTTTAGATAACAATTAGCCAAGTAAGTTCTAAAATTCCTAAGCAATTTACCTGCCACCTTTAGTACATGTTTCTTGTGTGATACATCAACATTAAAAGTTAACTGTCAAAAAAGTAATAATAGAAATAAGTTGGTTAACCATAGAAACTAATTTAAAATAAGTAGATATAATTAGTATATTTTACTTGTATATCCTTCCAAACCATGTTCTTATAGGCACTTAGAGTCGAAACTTTCCAATTATCACATGTTATAGGAATGTTAGATCGGACAATGGACCCGAGATAACTAATGAATATTGTTCCACCAGGTTCAATTGGTTGACCCTTTGCATTCCATGAAACCTAATAAAACAAATAAGCACATATTAATTTTTATACAAGAAACATAACTAAGATTCCAAAGCAAAAAATAAATACATTACATCTATTTTTTTCCTTCACTTCTAGCTCGAATGATTTTCTTCATAATAACTACACCTTTCTTCCATTTAGGTTCATTAGAATCAAAGCTATCATCTTGGCTAGGAGATGCCATTTACCTACAAGAAAAAGAGTGATAAAAATTGTTACAATCGATATAAAGGAAAGATATAAAAATAAAAATAAATTAACAATATAATGTAAATATTATGTGTAACATTTTCCTCTTCCTAGTCAAATTAAAACTTTTTTTGTTTCTTATGGACACAAAATGATGGATTGATCCAAATCCCCTCATCATGGTCATCTCTCCTATATAGGATATCATCTACCGTCGGATCATCGTCAAGTATATGTGATATCTCATACAATGGGTCATCCTCAACATTTGTATCTTCATCCTCGATATCTTCATTTTGGTGATCATTTATTTTATTGGTTAACAACACAATTGACCAATTGGCATCAATAGGATCAGTGACATAAAAAACTTGTTGAGCTTGTGATGCTAAGATAAATGGCTCATCTTTGTACCCCACCTTATTAAAGTTCACTTGCATAAACCCTGTCTCATCTTGTCGAACTCCACTATTGTTATCAACCCACTTGCAACCAAATATGGGAACCTGAAATGTCTTGTAATCCAACTCCCATATATGTTCAATCACCCCAAAATATGACATATTCGCATAGATAGGGGTTCTATCTTTAGCACTTGAGATATGCATAGATTTAGCAACCAAAGTGACACCACTATTTTGCATGGTACTCTTATCATCTCGTTCTTTTGTATAAAATGTATACCCATTAATCATATATGCAGTGTATGAGAAGACCTGAAAAGTTGGACCATTTGCTAACCATCTCAATCTATTAGAAATTAAAGAGGAATTTGCATTATGCTCTGCAAAAATGTGATTTTTAGCCACTGTATAAAATTTCCATTGTGTTCTCTTATTATCCAATTGTCATTCCTAGTTGGGTTCAACCTCTTAAGCATGTCTTTATGCCTCTCAACATATGGTTGGACTTCATCGTCATTGTGTAGAACATACAATTATGCTTGCTCCCAATCTTTCCACGATATGGTCAATATTGTAATTCCAATAATACCTTCTCCTTCAATTCTCCCATTGTGTCGAGACTTTGGAAGCCCTATTGATTCAACATTAGAGAGGTAATCAGTACAAAATTCAACAGCTTCTTCAAGTATGTATCGTTCCACAATACAACCCTCTGGTCGACTTCGATTTTTCACATACCCCTTTAATATCTTCATATAACGCTCCATTGGATACATCCATCTCATATAAGCTGGCCCACAATATTGTGTCTCTTTAACTAGGTGAATGGTAAGATGAACCATTATGTCAAAGAATGAAGGTGCAAAATACATCTCAAGCTCACACAAAGTTAAAATAATTTCTCTTTCTAATGCTTGCAATTTTCCAGGGTCAATCACTTTGCTACAAATGGCTCTGAAGAAGTAACACAATTTAGTTATGGTCCATCGCACTTTTTTAGGCAAAATGGAGCGTATACCTATTGGTAGTAAATGCTCCATGAGAACATGACAATCATGAGACTTTAACCCTTTTAGCTTTAAATCCCTCATAGATACCAGGTTCCTAATGTTTGAAGAATACCCCTCTGGAACTTTAACTCCTTCTAGAAACTTACAAAATATAATTTTCTCCTTTCTAGATAGAGTATAAGCTGCTGGAGGTAGATATTGGTGTTTACCTTTCTTTATTGGTCCTAATTCTATTCTAATTCCCATATTGAGTAAGTCTAACCTGGAATTGATGCCATCCTTAGAATTTCCTGGCACATTCAGTAGTGTACCAATCACACTATCACAAACATTTTTTTCAATATGCATCACATCAAGGAAATGTCTTACATATAAGGACTTCCAATATGGCAAATAAAAAAAAATTGACCTTTTCTTCCATCCACTAGTTACTAGATTTGCTGCAAAAGGTTTACCAAATTTATTGGTTATATCCTTAACCTTTTCAAAAACTTTATCACCATACAACAATTCAGGGGCTCTACCTTCTTCTAATCTCCCATTAAACGCTTTTCTCCACCCTCGATAACGATGTTTTGAAGGTAAAAATCTACGGTGGCCAAGAAATACATTCTTCTTACCATGCTCTAGCCACATCCAATTTGTATTACTCCCACATATAGGGCATGCACACTTTCCTTTGATACTATATCCTGATAAATTACCGTATGCTGGAAAATCATTAATAGTTCCAAACAACATTGCCCGTAGTTTAAAATTTTCTTCCTTATACCCATCATACACCTCTACACCTTCATTCCACATATACTTTAAGTCTTTGATCAAAGGAGCCAAGTATATATCTATGTCGTTCCCTGGTTGTTTAGGTCCAGAAATTAACATAGACAACATCATGAACTTCCTTTTCATGCATAACCAAGGGGGTAGGTTGTATATAATCATAACAACAGGCCATGTGCTATGGGAGTTACTTTGTATACCATGCGGATTTATTCCATCAGTAGACAATGCAAGACGTAGGTTTCTTGGTTCTTCCGCAAAATTAGGGTGATCATGGTCAAATTTTGCCCATTGAGGAGAATCTGCAGGATGTCGAAGCTTTCCATCACATATTCTTTCCTCTACATGCCATCTTAAGTTCTTTGCATCTTCTACACTACGATACATGCGCCTGAATCTTGGTATTATAGGAAAGTACCATACCACTTTGGTTGGCACTTTATTTTTCTTATAACGCAAGACGTTACATTTAGGACATTTATCTAGCGATGCGTATTCATTTCGAAAAAGAATGCAATCATTAGGACAAACATGTATCTTCTGATAACTCATGCCAATGGAGCTTAACATTTTTTTAGCCTCGTACATCCGATTAGGAAGTACATTATCTTTTGGCAACATATCTTTTAAAAGAGTTAGTAATTCTGTGAAACTCTTATCAGACCATCCATTTCCTGCTTTTAATTTGAGTAGCTTTAACACTGCTGATAGTCTTGTGAACTTAGTACAACCATCATATAATGGTGTATTTGCATCACTTGCCAATCTGTCAAACATCTCAGGACAGTCATGAAGATCCTCTTCAACAACATTTACAATCTCTTCAACTTGGTCAAACTCATATGTTGTGTCGGGCTCGCTTGGTGCATAATTGACACTATCTTGTAAATCAAGGTCAACATCCATGTTTTCTAGTTTCACCATGTTTTGTCCAACATGAATAACTTTTATCAATTCCATTACATACTAAATGTTCTTCCAACACATCCGCATTAACTAACTTTGAATGACAACACTTCAAGCAAGGGCAAATAATTCTACTAGGATCTTTTGCATGCTCAACTACAAATCTACGAAACTCTTTCACCCCATCTTCATATTCTTTTGACAATCGACTAGCAGACATCCATTTTCGATCCATTTTTTCTTGATCTATCATATTAGTCATTGATAATATTTACATCAATGTTAACATCTAATGACATAAATGCATGGTTTTAAAAAAATTATTGTTTATCTATACTTTTCATACATCAAATAATAAAATAAAAAAGGAAATTCTTTAAAGACTTACCTTAATATTTTAAATCTGTAAAGGAAAAACTTTCAACAAGTACAATAAG